ATGCACATGAAGCGTACAAAAGAGCCCGGAATGATGTCAATAAAATGATCAAACACACAAAGGCAACCTATTACATGAATGCTTTTAACCAATATGAGTCTAATACGAAAGAAATGTGGAAGAAAAGTGATCTAACAAACAAGAAAACTAAAAGTACAAATATTTTTTTTCGGAGATAAAAGAGGATGGAGTAATGTTAACTGATCCAGCAGAAGTTGCGAACCCCTTCAACAAATTTTTTAGCGAAATTGGCCCTGATCTATCAGATAAATTACCAGAACCGGATTATCTAGCAGAATCGTATGTAAATCCCATAAATTCCGAGTTCTATTTTCAGACAATAACCGAAACAGAAGTTTTTAAATTATTGACTACACTTAAAACATCTAAGGCCACGGGACATGATAGAATTTCGGCTAAACTGTTGAAGGACTCTGCGGATGTAATTACAGAGACGTTGACTCAAATATTTAACAAATCAGTACTTTTAGGTAAATTTCCAGATGATATGAAAGTGGCAATTATTTCTCCTATTTATAAAACAGGAAGTAAAACGGAGACCACGAACTATAGATCATTGTCCGTGCTCTCCGTTGTCGCAAAAATTTTTGAAAAAATGATCTCGCAGCTTTCTAATTATTTGGAAACAAATGGAGTAATAGTGAAACAGCATTGAATTTGGTTTCAGAAAGACGCACTCCACACAAACAGCGCTACTAAATGTTACAAACAAATGGTATTTAAATATGGATAAAGGCTATTTGAATGGGGTTATATTCCTCGACTTAAAGAAAGCATTTGATTGCGTAAATCATAGCATTTTGTTAAAAAAATTACAACTCTATGGTATAAATGGAGTGGCCTATAGCTGGTTTAAATCGTATTTAGCAATTCGAAACAAACTAGGTCGCAAAAACACACCATACGTTGTGGAGTACCCCAAGGATCTAATTTGGGACCACTACTGTTTCTCCTATAGATAAACGATCTACCAAACTGTTTATCGTATACATCTGCGAATATGTTCGCGACTATACCTTCCATATGTTTTAATTAAGCTTCAAGATCTTTTAATATATCTTTTTCTATTCTATGTATATACAAGGTAACACAGTACATCCAACCAAGTTTAGCCCAAACATAATATTATATACAAACATATAATCTTATTGCGGTTGGTCGTGGATTTTGCTTGTGGTCAGGACATGGATCGCGTGTGATTTTCGTTGCGAATTGTTTTTCTGTCGCCTGTATATGTCAAAATAGCCAGTCTTACAAACTATAACAAAATTGTGGATGTTTACGGTCATGTCGGAACCCGTTATTCATTTATGTCAGTAAGCCAGTAAAACGATCGGCCTTTGCTAGAAACTTCGAGATTTGTGAGTTTTACTATAGTTTTTAATCACTTCCAGGTGTAAAGAACATTACTACGAGGCCTGCACGCAGGCGACGATCTGAACCTAAACTCGGGCCAGTCACGTGACTGAACACATTGTTTTTGAGAACGAACATCTTTCGATATGTTTTGTAAGTTTGTATATTTGTAAGTGTGTTTGTCGAAGAAATATATGGATTATGTAAATAAAGTTTCGGCTATAATTCATTACATGGCGCCCAACGTGGGGCAGCTTTGATTACCTGGTATCAAGCTAAGGCCCAAGCGAAAATTCGAGCGATATTATGGCTGAAACGAAGGATAAACTCGATCGATTGAAGGCGAAACGAGGCGGTTATCGTGGCGTTTGTACGAAGTTAACTAAGGAAACCGAGGAAATAATTCATGCGGATGAAATTGATTACGATAGATGCGAGGTTATTCGCTCTTTACTGGAAGAAAAATCGAAAATATTAACGGATATAGACGAGGAAATATTGGGAATATGCGAAATTGCGAGTATTGAATACGAGATCGAGGAATCAGCAGACGTTATGGGACGAATACTCAGTGCAAAACGTAAACTTGATAAGGTGAAACTCGAAGCGAAGAAAACGGGAAATACGGGCCACAACGGTGACAATTCAACACGAAAATGGAACTAATATTGCGACGACAAGCAGCGAAAGCGAGCGATGTTACGAATCACGAGAGCGGTAGTGAATTGGGTGGAATTATTAATGCGAGCAATGGTCCACCGGAAGTTGGTAGTATGGGGGACATGGGGCAGCAGAATCGAATCAAATTTCTGTACCTTCTTTAAAACCTAAGTTACCAAAACTCACATTGCCCAAATTTAAGGGTCAAGTCACCAAATGGGGTCCTTTTTGGGACTCATATAATTCGGCTATACACAATAACAGTGTAATTTC